CTACTACAAGATCAGCAGGAAAGCGGTTAAAATCTCAGCGGCTCAGGGCAGACTCAGCCTTCCATCCTTCCGAGGTGGGTAAAATGAGGACCCAGATTGTTGGGGGCAATATGCTGACTCTCTGTAAACCGCTTAGAGAGGGCTGAAAGGCCTATGAAGCGGTATATAAATCTACTGCTATACAAATACTACTTTTTAGGCAAAAAACTATAATGTGATGAATGGAATCCTTTGACACCTATGTGTTTAATTACAGAGACTATAAATTGTTGCACCCATTCAGAACACTCACCAGTGCTTACTCTGTCCTACTATATATGTACATATAAACAATCATTGTACAATCATTTTAAGTTACCTTTCTCCTCAAATAAAAGAGCAGGCTCAAAAGTATGTTTATGCTCTCAACTGTTGCCTTAGAAATAAAGAAAGGAACAATGTTGACTCAGTTGTGGGAGTTTCAGAGGTGTGCATGACCCTGTCACCCTATGTACTTAATCCATAAATCACAAGAACTGCTGCAGACATACTCTTTCCAAAGATGGAAATACTCTACCTATTTGTCCCGTACAATAGTTGCAGTATGCAAATATGTTCCTCAATAGAAACAATTTACCTTCCTCTTCCTGCTTATACTAAGTACTCTTAGAAACAAAGACTTACACTTTCTAAATGTTTAAACAGCACACTATAACATTAGAAATTATAGCACATGTAGAATTCTATTCAATATTACATAGAATTCACAAGTTACAATTATTACTTCTTTGCAGGGTATAAATTAAAAAATCAAGAAAGAAAATTATCAGAAAATATTAAAAAGTGAAGACTCCCTCAAGCCACACACAATTTGTGATCATTAAATTGACAAAGTAGTTTATTTGGCAATAAAACCATTTCAAGTCATTTATGGCATGCTTTTTCAATATTCTAAACTACTCTGCAGCTCTGGGATTTCCTGAATGTCTCCCAGATCACTTTCCTCTTCCCAAAAGAAACATGCAAATGCACACATCAAAGAAACACATCCCCCAATTTGCTACCCACAGTGGCACCTGAGCTAGAAGATCCCCTCCCAGTGATTTATCCTCTGCTCACAGAAGGAATATAACAATAAATGTTATGTGCACTTTAAAGGCACCCCAAATCAGTGGCCTGAAAGGCAGCCCTGAAAGGTAAGCTCTTTAGAATTATAAAATAAAGCAGGAAAAAGTTTCAGGTTTTTAATGTTTCCTCTTACAAATTGAACAGTAACATATATAAGCTTATGCTTCTGGTCCTGTTAGAAGATACAGGAACACTGCAACATACTGTTTGTTCTATTGAGAATAAATGCTTTCAAAGAGGATCTAAATTCATCAACTAAATTTGCCTGCTTGCAAGTTCTTAGATTTCCTCTCACTTAAAACACCTCTGCCTTTTATTTCCTCACACCTCTAAACTATCTGCCAAAATAGGTTCTAAAGTGCCTTTGCAAATTCTAGCTCTTTCAATCAAAGGTTTCGATGGGCAGGCAACAACTGAATTTTCTCATCCTTCTAAGCTGCTTGTACAATCAATAACCTTTTAGGAGAAGATGCAAAAGGAAAGAACATCTACTGTTTATAAAAGGTTTAGAAAGACAGATGTAGTAAAAACAAAGTCATCTTGAAGAAAATTTTATTGCAGAAATGTTCAATATAGATGAAATATTTTGTTAGAATTATCATGTTTAATTTAACAGCAAAAATTAAAGCAAACCTCAAGCAACTTGTTAAAAACATAAGTACTCACTATCTGTAATACCGTTATAAAAACTCTGAAATGGAGAATGCAAGATATACCATACTTTTCGGAGTGTGAGATGCACTTCCTCCCTCTAAAAGTGGGTGAAAATTGTGGTGCATCTTTTACACCGAATGTTGCCAAATGTTGCTCACCTACCAGCCCCCACCCTTCAGTCATTTTCGGCCTCTGCACATTGCATTTTTGCATGTATTATATTGTCAAACTCAAAAGAAATCAAAATATATATGTTATTGCTGTTAGTACAAACTTACCAGCTTCTATCAACTTAAGAGTTCACTATGAAAAGATTACAAAGAAGCAATTTCCCACAGTTAATAACTTTATTTTGGATTTGCTATCTCATTCAATGAGAAAGAAAAAGAAAGAGGGAAAGGGAAGGAAGGAAAGGAAGAAGAGAGAAGGAGAGTTAAAAGAGAAAAACAGAAATGAGAGGGAGGGTAGGAGAGAGAGGAAGAGGGAGACCCATTTCCCACAGAAAACACTGAGAGTCATGAAACCTGGTAGGTGTGGCTGGAGGTCATGTGACTGGGTGGGAATGATGTTGAGTTGCCACACCCACCCAGGTTTTTGTGGCTCCCGGTGTTTTATTTTCTGTGGGAAACGGGTCCAAATGACTCTTTGAGTGTTTACGGTTGCAGACCCCTGGTCTAGCCCATTATAAGAGTTTTCTTATTATTTGGAATTTTATCCTGTTGCCCTATTCCAACTGCCATTTCTGATCCTTCTTCTAGAATGAAAACTAATAGGCTGAAAACTAATAATAGGAATCTACAAAGGTTATACAATAAAAAAGCAGTATCATTTCTGAGCACACACTCCATGCATGCCCATACTATACTCAACATTCTAAGACAAGCTGAGCTGCCAGATCACCATACCATCCTGGAATTTAGAAGCTTAGCCTTTCTGAATAATTCCTGCAGGTTCTTCTACTCTAATAGGCAGAGAAAGTCTGTAGCAAGTTTAAAAGGTTCCAGTGATTGCTATTAGGGAACAAGCAGATGCATTGCATTAACTAGAAAGCAATTCCTTATTTTACTGGCTTTGCAATAAGATATTTAAAACATCAAATTAAATTAAAAAAACAATTGGTAGGTCAGAACCAGGGCTATATATGTCATGCTATTTTTTAAAAAGCTATCAGTTCTGCAGATTAAACATTAAATCCCAGAGGCAACAGTATGAGAGTAACAGGCTCATTTCATAATCACCATTAACTGCTCTGGGTGCAAATGTAAATTAAGTTCTGCAGGTCAGTGATCATCCTGGACTTAGTGGATTGTGTTTCATAGGTATTGCAGTTACTCACGTGCAAAAACATTTGCCTGATCCAAAAGAAACCCATGGGGAGAACTGAATACCACTAAGAGAACTGTTGTGGGTGTCACTTTACTGGCAGACCTCAGAGCAGAACAGGACTTTAGACTGAGTCATAAGTTGTGCAGCTGTACATCTTGAGAATTTACCCTTCAAAAAGAGCACAGAGTGTCAAGGGACATAGAAACTGAAAAGACCCAAACCCGTTATTTCAGGCATCATGCCATTGAAAGAAACACCAATACCAATCATAATATATGGCCATAATTCTTCTCCACTTCTATTAGAATAATGGATATGATCTACTACTCACAATTTGGGGGGGGGGGGGACTTCCAAAGTTAGTGACAAATAATGATCTTAAAACATTGTGAAACTCTCCAGAAATATATCTATTTTCTCAAAATTCTGTTCAGCATTGCATTTCAAATAGCACTTTTGCAACCTTCAAATAATTATTTGGAAACGCTCATCAAACTTATTTGATTTCTAAGTGAACATATGTTGGAGGATTTGGCTACAAGCCAGCTAATTAGTGTTAGTGTAAAGTTAAAATCTAATGTGACAAATACTTACTAATAAATATCAACTCCATTGTTAGATTTTATATTTAAATCTAAATATCCATCAATTCCACACAAGATAGTGTGGGAAATTATCATCCAGCCCTCTCCCAGAAAAATGAAATATCCTAGGAAATATTGAAAAGGCAGAATATTTCTCTGGATGTGAAAAGAAACATGTTTTAAAAGATAGAATAGTTGCCTGTAGCTTCCTGCCAATTCCCCCTGTTAATAGGCCATTAAGACTAGCCAGGCTAGTCCACTTTACATAATAAAGACTTCTCCACTGCAGCTGTAGGGGAAATTGATA